AAACTCTTAAACGAAGGACCATATAATCCGATTCCTAAAGATCCTTCACCTTCGGTCTTATCCAAAATAAAAACTGCGATTAAATCTTCGCAAATCATTTCAAGCAACTTAAAACATTTGCTTATCCCATCTGTTGCGAATTGTGCCAGATTATATGCTCTTTCCAAAATTCATAAAAGTGGTATTCCTTTCCGCCCTATTGTATCAAATTTAGGTACTGCCTCGTATCCATTAGCTAAATATTTAGTTTCTAGATTTTCCACTCTATTAGACAATAACATTTACACCATAAAAAATTCAATAGAGTTTGTAAAAAAGGTTAAAAACATTTCTCCTAGTAATTTACTCATGGTTTCTTTTGATGTAAAATCATTATTCACCAATGTCCCCAGTGCAGGGTGCATTAAGATGTCTAGAAAACAGACTTCGCGCGAATTTCATTTCTCTTGCATCGAAATTGATGAGCTAATTTCTCTCACTCAACTCTGTTTGAAACAAACAACATTTTGTTCTCCAAAATAAATATTACCAAGCAAACTGAGGGATTAAGCCATGGTAAGCCCCCTCAGTTCCATCCTGGCTGATATCTACATGCATTTATTATGAATCAAAAATTGTTTGAAACTTTAAACTTCCCGGCATGGTTCCGCTACGTAGACGATACTTTTACCCTGTATGAAGGTAATAAAGATGATTTAAATAAAGTTCTTTCAACAATGAATTCTGATTGATCCTGCTATTCAGAGTTCACTTTTGAACTTTGAGACTTGCAATTCTCTTCCGTTTCTCGACATTCTGGTCACACGTAACACAATCCAACTTCAGTACTACAGGTTTACCGTAAACCTTCATCGGTTTGCCTTCCACCACACTTTAAATCATGTCATCCGACTTAAACAAAAGTTAGCTTCATTTTATTCCTATGTTTTCCGTGCTCTTCAGGTTTGCTCCTCCAAACTAGCCCTTGATGAAGAACTAAATTATTTAAAAGCAATAGCTATTGACAGGGGCTTTTCACCCAACATTATTAATCAAGCAGTTAAAAAATTTTCATCTCAACACACTAAAAGCCACACTCTTATTTTAGGAGATTATAAAAATTCTGTTGTCATTCCCTTCTTTCCATCAATTGGCTATAAAGTTTCACATATTTTGCAGAAATTTAACTTTCGGGTTGTTTATTCTCCCATCAATAAAATGCCAACTTCTATACTCAAGGACCCCATTCCGGATATGAATTCCTGGGGTATTTATAGGATTCCTTGCCAGTGTGGTTTAATTTACATTGGCCAAACTAAGAGAGCCTTAAAATTTCGCGTCAAAGAACATGAGGCATATGTTAGAAAAAAGGAAACACAGAAGTCTTCTGTTGCTCAACATTGTTGGTCCGAAAATCACACTTTCAATTTTTCTGCTGCCAAAATTATTCAAAAAACATCTTCCATTGGAGAACTGGATTTTCTAGAGGCATTTCACGTTCATAAAAATCTTTCTGTTCTAGTTAACGATCCTAATTCCAATCCAAATTTGCCTTCGGCTTTTAGAGAAATTATGTTTTAGTTCTGGTTTCGCCAACAGATGGCGCCACTTGCTTATTCTTGTCCAGGCTTTCTTATCTTATCTAATCATTATTTCCTATCTTGTTCATTTGCGGTTTTGCAGCTGAAGATGATGGTTCGGTAAAACCATCGAAACTAGTCCTGTGAAAATTTTGTAAATATAACGCTGATTTTTGTTGTTTGACTTCTGAATTAGTGACTGTTATTAGTGTAAAATACACTTATACATGTTTTTCAAGAAATTATGTTCCTAATTTAATGTTATCTACTTCATAACTTGTAGGGAGTTAGTTTAATTTTCAAAATTGTTTTATGGTAAGTATTAAATTGAATTTAATAATAGTGCATAATACACACTTCTGTTAGTTTCTTAAAGTGAAATTACAAGCATGAAGTCGGTTGTATGGATAATTGCTTTATTCTATTCATTTTTTTGTTTGCTGATAGGTCCTTAATTTTTTCTTTGATGGTCCCTAAAAGTCCTTAATTTTCATGTAAGGAAATGTGTACGAACCCTGTATTTTTCTTTATTTTCTATAAATGTCAATATATTAAGATATATTATTTACGATTTATATATTGATATTATTATTGACTATGCTTATAGTGAGAGTGTATATTTAAGATTAATATTTTTGTAACTCGAATTCTGGATGCGAGTTCTTCAACAAATTAAGCAATTATTTGAAATATTTTTTTTTTTCTATCTGGAATGTCTTGTGGTCGAGGCCCCTGGCTTCAAGCCTTTTCAGATGGGGGGGAATATTTGTAATAATAAAATTCCATAGTCAAGAATACACTTAAAACTCTTAACTGTATGTTCTTTTCATTTTAAATGGTGACGGTCTATTATTTGAAAGTACGTGGAATTAAATCCACAGCCCGTAGTCAAGTTGTTTTTCCTGCCTTTTCTACACGTACAGTTATAGAATGTTCTGGAAATATTTAAAGCGAACTGGATTGGCTGACGTCATTTCTTGGAAGCTCCGCCTTTCCAGAGGCTATAAAAGGACTCGCAAAAGAATATCGGGGGCCTTTTTCTTAAATGTCACGATGCAGTCAACTTCATACAAAATGTTATTAGTAGTTCTTTTTTATTTACTCCGGATATCTGATTTTGTAACTGCTATTTCTCCTAACCAATAATAAATGGATCCTGTTTTTTAAACTTATCGTCTGATAATTTAAGCTACGACTACATTTATGATTCTTCAACAATCTATTTATTCCTGACAAAAGCTGGTACATCACATATATATATGTATTGTTATGAATTGTACAGGTGAGGTAAGATAGCTTTCCCCGCAAAGCAGTTTTAGGGCTGCCATAAAATGGCAAGGAAAGGCCAAGTTGCCACATTTGGTGGCAAAATTGGTGATATCCCATGGACGGATGGAGAACCTTCTGGAACGAATTCTTACCGGTTTAGCCCAGAATGTTCTCGAACACAAGCCGAAAGCTATATAAACCCTGCTGGTCCGCAGTCAGAGAGGGAGTGCCTTACATAGAGTGCGAGGGATTGTGTCTCATCTAGTAAGTCCGTGCGCAGACGATCGAGTTGACAGCCGGCCAGCGAGTGCCAAGTGGGTCATCGAGTGCATCGAAGAGTCTCTTAGTGTATCGCGGTTAGTGCATCGTCGAGAGAGCGTGTTGAGCTCTGGGAACGACTGAACCGAAAATTCGGGAGCTGTGCTCTGTGCGTCGTCGAGTTCATCGTGAGTTGTAGCGTGGAGAGTCTCGAGAGTACATTGATCTCCGGGAACGACTAAACCGAAGAGTCGGAAGCTGTGCTCTGGTGCTTTGCAGTGAAGCTGTCTCCACCGTGATAGCTTGATAACCTGAAAGCTGTGTCGCTGATTGTGTAGGCGTGTTTATAGTGGATTTTCGACGACTGTAAAAGTGTTTTGGAGCTGTCCTGATAAATGTTGGTAAATAAAGTGTGTTTCGATACTTCATCAAGAAGTATTGTCATTATTCACTCCAAATCTGCACGAACCCCGTATGAACATGAAGTGAAGAAAGAAAATAACGTAACAACTGGTGTCAGAAGAAAAAAACGCAACAATGTATATACCGAAACTTGCTCAGACAGATTGTGCGGATCATGTTAGTAGGTATGTGGAAGATGTGAATATCTGGTGAGTTATTGAATGGTGAGCATCATGCACATTAAGAATTACCTGAAATATATGTTTCACTAATTTTCATTTAAAAATATTTGTGAACAATATTTTGTGTGTAATTGCTAATACTTGTGAATTTCAGATTTATTCACCTCTATTTCATAAATATAAAAATTATGTATATTTAATAATAATGTTAACAAAATTTTAATCATATTCAAGAGTATTAAGGAAATTAAGTTGGAACAAATTGCCTCATGTCTTTGATATAGCACTGTGCATAATCCACAAATAAATGGATGGATTAAATGAATCCACATTTAATAATCACTATGTATAAGTGTGTTAGGGTAACTCTCATATATGACTGCTTAAAAAGAATATACCAGGTAACAAAGAAAGTTTGAGTGGTTTTTGAGAACAGTTTTGGTATATTAGTGTAGTCAAATTGATTCTGATGATATCGTATGTGTACATTCCTTTCAAACCTTATTCAGTAGAGAGTTGTTCAGTGCATCGACTGTTTCGCTGTAAGTTTTGTAGGAAGTGCAATTTTCGAAAGAACACATAATTGGGAAAAAAGATTTTGAAGCCTATTTTACTTTATGAGTAAAATTGGGCACAAAGCTAATGAAGTCGACAAAACAATATGCTCTGCATTTTGAGAGATATTAGTGAGTGAACGGACTGCTCAAAAGAAGTTCAGCTGATTTTCTTCTAGGGACAAGAATCTTGAATACAAGCCTCGTGTTGGTAGTCCATCCACCCTCAACAAAGTCCAGCTAGAAGAAGTCAAGCAGAATCCTCATCAAACCTACCAGGAACTTGCGCATAGGTTTTGAGTATATGATAAAACCATTTGATCACATCTTCATAACCTTGGGATGACATGAAAATTGAGGAAGTGGATTCCTCATGTTTTGTCTGAGGAAAACAATCTCCAGTCATTGAAAATCTGCTTTTGTTGCTGTCACGTCTAAAGCCTCCATCCTGGACTAAAATCATGTCTTGTGACAAAGAATAGATCACGTATGATAACCGGATAAGAAAACATCATTGGTCAATTTCCTGGTTTGGTATCACCGGCCGCTAAACCAGACATCCACCAAAAAAGGCTAATGCTGTGTGTTTAGTAGACCAGGATGGCATAGTCGACTATGAATATTTCAGCTGCACTGTCCCAGAAGCAGCCAGCACTAGTCAGTCAACAGATGAGTTCTCCTCTATGATAAGCCACTATGATAAAAAATTTTCTTGTTATCAGAACAATAATGCTTATAGCATATTTAATCAGAATCATTTCCTTATATTTACATAGGCAGTGACAGTGGAAGTGAGCAGAGTCTTCCTATATCTTCAGTAAACACCCTTCTTGCAATGGACACTAAACACCAAAGTACATCTAAAATAATAAAAAATCTTGATGATCAAGACATGAGAATAGATACTCAACAATTTAATCCTGATGCACTTTGGCAAAGACCTTTAGCTGGGTAAGTTAAAGCTATATAAATTCAAACTTGGTTTGGTACTTTTCGTTATTGGGACCGGATTCAGAAATGTATTTTGCATGTATGTATATGTGTATGTGTATACAGGGTGTTTCAGCAAATCGGGTGCAGACTTTCAGGTGAGATAGAGTCCAACTGGACGACAGAAAATCATATGGCAATGAATGGTCGGAAACGCTTTTCTGGATAGTAGTGACAATACAAAACACAAGAAAGCAAGAGCATGAATAGGATGAGGAAACATGTTTATTATGCTTAGTGTAACAGATATCAAGAAACAAGAACAAAAATAGACAACCATCATCATAAAGAGGGTGTTCGAAATTACAACCCTGGACCGTGATGCAGGCCTCTTACACCTCTGGTTCATGGAAGATCTGCATCACGCATGGAAGATGCATGACGCACAGTTCCTGCATCAAAGTCCGATGTGGTAATTTGAACACCTTCTTTGATGACAGCCGTTGTCCATTTTGTTCTTATTTATTTCTTGGTTTCTGCTGTACTAAGCGTAATAAACAAATTTCTCACCCTGTTTGTGTCCTTCCTTCCTTTTTTGTGATTTATGTCATCACTACCATGCCAGGAGAACCTCTCTAACCATTCATTGCTATACCATTTTTTATCGTCCAGGTATATCCTGTATCTCTCCTGAAAGTTTGTAACGGATTTGCTGAAATACCCTGTATATATGTATACGTACATATATACAGGGTGTCTGTAATCTGGACTGTAAAAGTTTGTAATCCAGGTGTCCATATCCGGAATGATCTATAATCTATATCAAAGCCTCAAACTTTTTTTTTTTTTTTTTTTTTTTTTTTTTTTGTGTGTGTGTATGTTTTACGCATGTTACACATGGGCATTTAATGTTTACGCATGCACTTTTACCACAAAAAACGAAGTAACTTTAACAACTTGCATTGAAAGAAATGTTTAATAAAGTTAACAAATAAACATTAAGCTCTTTTCTTTTTTTTTTTTTTTTTTTTTTTTAATTTTGATATCTTTTTAGATCATAATTGCTCTTTATTTTATAAATTACGGTTTCATATTTTAATTGTATAATTTCTGCATGCCATCTTACCAGATTTAAATTGATGATCTATAATCCGGAAAAACCCTTAATCTGGAATCTTCGAGAATCAGTCAAAGTCCCGAGGAGTCCAGATTATAGACTTTGAACTGTATTGTGTATGTGTACATACATATATATATTATGTAAGGGAAATATGGTCCTGATAACAGAAACGTACCCTTTGTTTTATATGTAGTGATTTCCAAGCTTTCGATTGACAACACACCTAATTTAATTACCAATCTTATGACTAAAATGATTTTGATTGATTTTAAATTATTGTTATTATTTCATTAAAATTTGCCTTTCAGCGTAAATATGTGCATCATATATTGTGTATCGGTCATGGTCTTCAGTTGATAGACTTGACCCAAATTATCTTCGAAATGCATCTATATTTAGATTTTATTATCTTAATGTTACTTCACAATAATGGGGTTAAAAATGGAATTAGATTTATATTGTGGTATTTACAATTGTAATGTGTACAGATTACAAGTAAATCCATAATGATAGTAAAATTTGTGTATTTTTCATCAAGTGAAAAGCATGAGGCATAGTAATGTTGCAGTACGTTGCAACACATCATATGGGAATCACTTTTATGATGAATACGAAAGAATATAGCAGTAAAATAGTTGAATTAGATAAAATTCTCTAATTATTTTAATTTGCTCATATTTCTGTCATTTACTTTTATTAACGATAGAGTAACTAATGCTAGTAACTTGCATACATTCAAATATATTTTTATGTGCTTATTTGTTTATTTGTTTGGAAATTTATTAGAATTTCCAAGCAAATAAATAAATTATAGAAGGTCTGACTACTTATCCCCCCTTTTTTTGTTTGTGTGTATGTGAAAGAACTTAAATGAAAGCAAGATGTAATTTTTAAAAAAGAAAGTTGCAGAATATTGGTGTGTAGTTTTTATAGCAAGCATTAATTTTTTATAGTAAGTAAAAAAGATGTTTGAAATTTTATATTTCATGTCAATTTGTATTTTTAAAGATGTAACTGAAGTATTAGATGAATAAATAAGTAGTCCAGACCTTGTAGGATTTTAAAATTAAGATGAATAAATAAATAGTTTATACACATACTGTGTAGTAATACTGATGAATTACATGTTTATATATTATTACTTAATCTTGTTAATTTTTCTTTTTTTTTTTTTTTTTTTTTTTTTATTCTTTTTACACAAATTTAATAAGAACTTAAATTAGAAATAACGTAGATTTAACTCATCACTGATGTAGTCAGAGTTTGTATGGTTCTTAAATTACTTCAAAGTCTAGAATTTTGGGAAACGATTTCTGGTTCTTAAAAGTCCTTAATTTTGGTCCAAATTAGCAAAAGGTCTTTCTCGTCTGACTTTTCTGTCTGCTTTTTACAACTGGCATTTTGAGAATGAATTAAAAATTTTTTGGGAATATTTTTCGATTTGTTGATAAAAATGTATTTGATGGGTCATCATCTGAATTTTATCCGTCCTCTTAATAGAGCACGAGGCTGTGCATCAATGAAACATTAACATTTCAAAATTATTTCTATTTTGAGAATGTTCATAAAATATTACATCAGAAACATCATTTCCCTTTTTGAGGTATGATTTCTTTTATTATGCAGTACTAAATTTATCAATTTCAAGATCAATTTGTATATAAAATTTCTGATCCGGGTATTTGTGAATATTCCGACTTTTTTTTTTACACCCATAATAAAATTTTAAAATATCATTAAAATAATGATAATAAATTAAGATTGTAACCAAGAAATAGCAATAAAATAAAACTATTTTATTTTCCCATGTCATATTTTAAAATAACATTATTTCCCATTTTTTGATTTAGGAATATTTTGGTTCTGGAAAATGAATAAGCTAATAAATGTCATGTATCTTATTCATTTTCCAGAGTTTCTGAAACATTTTCTAGCAAAAGCAAAATAGTTACTTTAGTTATTTTTAAATTAATTTAATTTTTCTTCTTTTGTATTATTTCATTTGAGTTTTTCCCATGTAATTGTTTCAGAATATTCAAATGTTTATAAGTTTTTTCTTAAAAATTCACTGTACACTTTTCTTTTCTGAACTTTTCATTCAAAAATCTTTTGGCGTTTTGCTCTAGCTAGGTAATTTTTAGACCTTGCACCTCGGAAGGCTTACAAGGATTTGAAAGCAAGATTTGTAGACCTATTATTCCAAAAGATTCCAGAAAAATGTGACCAAATGAAAGATATTTTCACAGTATTGATATGTAATGAATGAGTGTTATAAGAAATTTGTTATAAATTTCTAATTTTATGGAAAATTTTTGGAAGAACTGTGAAACAAAGTTATTAGAATTATCTGCCTTTAGTCCTAGAAGTCTTCATAACATATTTGTCTTTCCTGTATTTTCTTGAGACGCGAACATGTAAAATTTCAGATTTAGTCCTTGGACAGGCATCTGTAGAAAGGAATTTTTCTATTACTAAAGAAATTGAAAACTGGTAATTTAAACGATTCATCTTATATATCTCACTGCATGTCACACAGAATGTTTTGCCCTACAGTCTCTATGGATCTGCTGCACAGTGTCTGCTGTGAATTCTAAAAATCTTGCCAGCTCTAAATTTTGTTGCCTGTTGCTTCCCTAACTTCTAAAAATTCTGCCATACTGACTCTGGCGCCAGTCCTGACCTTGTATCATTTCATATTTATTCTCAATACTCATATTATTAAAGAAATAAAGTTAGTGTCTTCTGTACATTCTAAATACTTGCAGTTCTTTAGCATAACAGAAATCTTTAATTAAATCCAAAATTCTAAACTGTAGCGGAAACTTATTGAGGAAAAAATTATATAATGAGGAGGAAAATTATTCTTCAAAAGTGTATTGTTAAAACATTAGCAAATTAGGGGATGAAGCAGAGACTGGTGGAAACATTGGTTTGTTTATTGAAAAAAACAAACAAAAAAATATATGAAAGAGAAGAAACCTGATGTAAATTAGCTGAAATATCTTAATAATTTTCAAATTAAAAAGATGCATAAATATTTTTTGTGTGTTGTACAAAATATGTAATTCTTGTTTTGTAGCTCTTTTCATGTTATTATTCTAATATCTTTTTAGAATCAATATCATAATTACATAATTTTTAGAATCAATTACATGTGTAATTAATTATATATATTTTAAACTGTAAATTAAGTAATGATTTGAATATTATTTTTTTAACAGATAATTTTTAGAAATAAATAAAACAAAAACTAATAGTGTCCATGTAAATCTATAGGGGTTCGAAGTATCTGACTATGTATACAGTGTGAATCTGAACAAGTGGACAAAATTGAAGGGGTAGTAGAAGCTATATGATCAATATTCATCACAGAATGTATGGTCAGAACTCAAATGGCGAGCTGCTAGTTGGCATTGTAAATAATAGTGTAAAAAGGCTCGGTCATAGCACACAATGACATTTTCTACCATGGATTGCCGAGAGGATTGCTGGTTATACAAACCACGAAATTTCCAAGGCGATAGATTGGCCGAGGTGGTCCCATAGCTTGGCCACCAAGATACTGGATCTCTCATATTCGGACTTTTTCCTTTGGGGCCATATGAAAACCTAATTTATGAGTGCTTCATTAAAACCAATGTGGATCTAGTCGCCAGGACCACCGTTGTTGCCGGCAATATTCGGGATATGCCTGGTATCTTCACAAATGTCCATCAATTCATATCCTCCATGTGCAAAGCCTGCATTATAGCTGGCGGAATGTCTTTCGAGCAATTTCTATTAGCATGTTTCATTAATAAAATGTTTTCTGAAGTATTTACCCTCATTCTTGTGTTAATTCCTTAAATGTGACAGTGGAAAAACTACCCTTTAACTTCTCACCTCTTGCTTTCTGACCGATTCTAGGAAAAAAAAAATCCACATAAAAAAAAGCTCACAGGAAAAAAGCTCACAGGTATAATGGTCAAAGGAAAAAAGCACACACAGAAATATGCCCACATAGAAAAAAGCTCACATGGAAAAATGCCCACTTAGAAATAGAAATATGCTCACACAGAAAAAAGCTCACATGGATATATGCTCACATGGAAGTAAGCCCACTGATAAATAAAACTGGTGATGTAAATTGAACTGAAACTCAAGCAGCCAATAATAATTTTACAGCAATATTAACTGTCCTATCAAAATGCTTTGAAAACCAAAACTAACTCGGTCTGACTTGAGATTTCATCATGAACATTACACACTTGCTTTCCACGCTTTGGCCTATCTACACTGCTGCCTGTTTGCTTTGATTTCTTGCTACAAAATTATCAAAGATGAAAGCCTTTTGGAACATACACATTTAATGTGCCGACTTGTGTGTAGCCGCAACATGTTGCTGAAAATAAAACTGAAGATTTAATCTGCATTCACCCCCAATTTTCCGGTCATTGCTTCTGAGTTTGAATATATTACATATATATATAATATAATTTAAATAATTTTGCTTTGAACAATTCAAATAGGTGTACAATGCCCAAATCGATTAATTATTGATTGATTAATCTAAGGATATTTCTACATATTTTATTTATCAGTGGGCTTATTTCTATGTGAGCATATATCTTTGTGAGCTTTTTTCTGTGTGAGCATTTTTCCATGTGAGCGTTTTTCTATGTGGGCATATTTCTGTGTAGTCTTTTTTCCTGTGGTGGCCATTTTTCTGGTCACCTTTCCAACCATACATTCTATGATGAATATTGCTTTTATAGCTGCCTTCTATCACTCCCTTAAGTTTTGCCCACTTGTTCAGATTCACCCTGTATAAATATTTGTAACTAATCACTCACCTTTAGAACTTTTCTATGCATGTTAAGGTAAGGTGTTATATTTATTTAATCTTTAAATCTATTAAGAATCTTTAAATCTATTATTTATTTAATCTTTAAATCTATATCTGTGGACATACGATAGTGACACAAAAATGTAAATATTAACATAAACATGTTTGTTCTCAGAGTTGTATTACAGAATAGAGGTTTGGGTATAGATAATTGCTTTAGTTTATTCAATTCCCTTTGCTGATAGGTCCTTAATTTATTTCACTAGTTATTCTTAAAAGACCTTAAAAGTACTTTATTTAAGTGTTTAGTAATATATCGAACCATGTGTAGTGAGTAATGCTTATAAAAAAGAAATTTTATTGATCATCTTAGGCTTAACACAACCATGTATGTAGCTTTGTTAATGACGTACTTAAGTAATAGGCAGTTTCAGTTAAGTTGGCTAAAATTTTTAATTGCTAGAACAAATGTTAAGTTTTTAAAAATTTCAATTAAATGTGTTAAGTTTGTTACTTTCTTTAGTAATTTTATTTTTTATAAATGAACTGTTTTCAATCCTTTTCTCTAATCTTGTAATTGTTTGAGGCATTTGTAATTGTTATGTATTTTCATGCAGAATTGTTGCATGTACCTGCATTGTACCTTTTTAATACTAAATTTGTCAGTGAAAATTGTAATTAGGTATATTATAGAGTATTTTCCTTATTTGTGGAATTCAGTATCTTTTATATAATATTATAGGAAGTTGCAAATGGCACATGTTGATCATCTGGGAAGAGTGACTACTGAATTTGAACCAGATCCTGAAAAGAAACGTGGTTTGTATTTTATTATTATTATTATTATTTTAATATTATTCACAAAACTGTTTGCTATATCAAACAGCAGTAATAAAAAAATATTTGTATAATGTTATTCATTGTATCCATTTTAAAACATTATACATCATAAGATAACTGTCAAATATTTAAAAGAAAAGTATTGTAGGGTACAAGTGTGGGGATCCCCTTTCATTTATTTATAATATATATTTAAAAAGTTTATGCAGAATTATAAACTAGAATTAAAATTATAAACTGACAAAATATATAAATTTTGTTCAATTTATTTGTTTGTACAATTTTGTTCAGTTAATGCTGGCAGAATATATGAGTAATAACCAATTAATTATTTGTTTAAAAAGCTTATGCATAATGTTTCAAAATTATAAATGACAAAATATATGAATGTAATTTATTATCCTCTTCATCCATGACCATGAGCACAAATACACATGCACCATTTAGACTGATTTATTCTCAAAATGATGAACAGGGATCATGTAGAACAGATTTTTCCTGGTGTTATTTTTTTCTCTGTTTGTTTCCACGGTGTTCAAAGAGCACAGACATAAGAAGACAGGAAATTACCTTTAAGTAATCTAAGCTGATATCCTGATCATTATTTATAATTAGCTGTTCTATTAAATTATGCTTAATTTTGTGCATTTATTAGTCCAAATGGGCTTTATCCCTGAAGGACTATTGTTTTCATTTTGCGATTATGCGTTGAATCACTATAAATGTGAGTTTCACTTTTCAAACTGTTGCCACTAAATGTTAGAGTCCTGCATTATATTTGAAGAAATTAAATAATGAAAAATCTGCTTAAAGGAAGTTATATTTCTCGCATTGTGATAAAACAAGGGTACATACAGGGGTTGGACAAAAATATGGAAACACCTTTAAAGAAACATGTTTCTTTGCTTAATATGGTGTAGGAAACCCGTTGGCATCCAAAACAGCTTGCAGTCTTCTCAGAATGGATAAATACAGTTCCTGTACGTTTGCCAAGGGAATATTATACCATTCTTCCTGCAAAATGGTGGCAAGTTCAGATAATGATGTTAGCGGTGGATAACGAGAATGCACTTTCCGTTCCAATGTAGACCACAAAGGTTCGATAATATTCAGTTCTGTTGACTGTGGTGGCCAGGGGAGATGGGACAACTCATCCTCGTGCTCAGAAAATCAGTCCTGGACAATGTGAGCTGTGTGAACAGGGGCTTTGTTGTCTTGGAAGACACCATCACCATCGGGGAACAAAGTTTGTACCATGGGATGAACTTGATCGGCCAAAATGTTCACATAAGTCTTGGTAGTCATGTGCCCTGACACAGTTATGGGGCTAGCAGAGAACCACGATATGGCTGCCCAAACCATAACAGAACCCCCGCCATGTTTCACTCTTGGCAACAAGCAGTCTGTATTATAGGCTTGAGACGGCATTCTCCAGACGTAAACTCGGCCAGAAGTGGGAAACAATGTGAAAGAAGACTCGTCAGACCATATTACTCGCTTCCACTGCTGTATAGTCCAGGCTTTTATGACTTAAACACCACCTTTTTCTGTTACGGGCATTAGTATCACTGATGAGTGGCTTCTCAATTGCAGCACGGCTAGAAATTCCCTGTTTATGAAGCTCCCTTCTAATTGTTTTGGTACTCACAGGATTCGGTAACACAACACGAAGTTGTATAGGTGGCGTCAGTAGTCAAAAACGCCAGCACTACCTACTTATTTTATTAAAATCAATCTTTCTTTTCAAACATGCATTTCACAAGGTGTTTCCATATTTTTGTCCATCCACTGTAGAGCCATCGAATTTTGAATGATGGAACTGTGTATCGGAAATTCTAAAGATATGCTCATTTTAAAATTATTTTGCGACATTGCTATTGAACTGAATTAACTGGTTTAAGGGCAAAGAACATAATATTTAATAAATAAAGGAAACACAAAAAACGTTTAAAAAAACTGAAACATAATTTAAAATCTGAAACCTTTCGGATTTTTTTTATATATTTGTAAAAATACAAGCATTTTCCAAATTAGTTTTTCTATGTATACTTTATTTTGTAATAAAATGGAATAGGTAAATTTTATTGTGTTGTAATTGTAATTATAGTTATTCAATTATTATATTTTTTGTATGATTTTTATTATATATTATATTGTAATTCTGATTATTACATTATTACAAATAATTGTCCTAATTATTACATTATTACAAATAATTATTACAAATAATTTTTTATTATTATATGATAGTAAATAATTATTGAAATTATATGATAATTGATAAGTATTGTATCTTTTTTTAAAATTTGAGCTAATATATACTCCTACAGCGTTGCTGGTTCTTTTCATGGACTATTTCTCCGTTTCCATGTCACGAAATGCAGTGACACTGTATAGCAATTTCTTACAACCAGCATGAAATGCTTTGTTTTCACCAACTGAACTCATTTTAATGATAAAAAAAAGCTATCACTAACACAAAAGACCACAATATTGGCAAATGTCATGGCAAAATCAACTACGATCTTCTAGGTAAATTCCACACAAATGGGGTGAAAACCCTATTGTTTCCTTTTTTTACTTTGAAAAGAATACTTCCATTGAAAAATATAGCTCCAAGATTTTTAGTGACTTTAAAAGTAAACTATGAAACATGCATTGTCATTATAAAATTCATTTTTTATGAAAAAAAATTCTATATTCTTGGTTCCCAGGCTGTAAACCGATGTGAATTTAGCCGAATGTGAAAGGTGCAAAAGACAATTGACAATAGGATCACTCGATGACACAATTTTCTTATGACATCTCACCTTGTACCTCACATAATTAATGCCCTTTTTGGAGGATTCTATGTATTTTGGCTGAATGCCAGCTGAAGCTGTGTTTGAGATGGTGGAATTACGTAGCGTATTCGGAAACTAAGTACCGTTTCATTCTGGCGCCGTCGCAGCGCTGTGGTAGGCGTCCCGTGCATGCGCACTAGTCTTTCTTGTTCACTGACTTTCAATTGTCACCATTTTGGTTGCTCTATGTTGTGTTTTCAGTTTGCTGTGCACATTCAAAATGTTTAAGACAATTAATTCTCCCGCTGACTGTGAGATTCGTGCCGTGATTCAATTTTTGAATGCGAGGAATGTTAAACCGGCCTAAATTTATCATCAAGTGACAGAAGTTTACGGTGAATATGCGATAAGTGATGGAATGGTGAGAAAGTGGGTAAGAATGTTTAATGCAGGTCGAATAAATGTCCACGCCGAGGCTCGGAGTGGTCGGCCTTCTGTTGTCACCGATGATTTGGTAAGGAAAGTTGATGAAGCAATTCATGAGAACAGACGCTTCACAATGACAACTCTTTCAGAGGCATTTCCACAAATTTCACGGCGCCGTCCGACTATCACTTGTTCCTGCACATAAAACGCGAGCTTGGTGGCGAGCGCTTTGGATCTGACGATGACACGAAAAATGCTGTGGAGTCGTGGTTATCAAAACTGGCGGGAAGTTTCTTTGACGATGGTATACAAAAACTGGCCACCTGCTATGACAAGTATTTTCGTGGAAAAATAAAATTGGATTCGAAACAATTGTTTTACTTTTTTTTTTTTTTTTTTTTTTCAAAACGGCACTTAGTTTTCGAATATGCCTCGTATAATAATCTATCATTTATTAATTATGCAAAAGTTTTTTTTTTTTTTTTTTTTTTTGTGTGTGTGTGTGTGTGTGTTTGTATGTGTGATGGAACAGCACACACAAATTAAATTTTCACATGAATGTAAACGTCATGAAAATATAGAATATCAGTTTACTGGATTCCTGTAAATGTTAGACTTCTTAATTTTTTACTAGAAATTTTTGGCAAAATGTATAAATAAGAATTAGCTTTTCTCTGTATTAGCCTTGTTTTTTTTTTTTTTTTTTTTTTTTTTTTTTTTTTTTTTTTTATGAAAATAAATAATTTAATAATATTTTTAAAAGAAATTATACAATTAGTTTTAATTAATACTTAGTTCAATTCATTATCTGCTTTTTTAATTTTAATTAATTAATTAATTAAAAATACTTTTACTCATATGTATTAATATATATGGATTTTTATTACATCAATTAAAATTTAGTATTTTGCATAGAACTTGAAAGCATTATAAAATTTCTTTTCAGAATCCAGGATTTCAAGAGCTGTTAAGAAACTAGTCAACTGGGATGCAAATAAAGTAAGTGTCTGTATGGAACTTTGGCTAAACGACTGCAGATATGTTTAGTTTGTTCGTCATATGATAAAAGAAAATGTGTTTTCTATTTATTTTTGAAGAAACATTTGTATTTGATCCTAGATTTAATAAAAACTGCTATTTCTCAAAATCTTAAGGAAATTAATTTTTCATTTGGCATGAAATGCTCCATGATATTTCTAATAATCGTGTAGTTCATTGAATAATTTCTTGATTAGTTTACACTGAGGAAAAGTGTTTTTGATATTTTTCTTCATAACAAAATTAAAAGGTTTAATTCTAATTCAGTTCTTTTAAATTCTAATTTTAAGACTTCATAACAAAATAATTAAAAGACTTTAAATTGTAACATTTCTGTAAATTTGCATACATGTCAATTTAGCATTTGTTTTAAATTTATTTCTTAAATATGATGCAAATCTGAATCAAATCAATCTAAGAGTTTCAGTCATTACTTTAGGATCAAGAAGAAATGGCATGGAAAGTAGCTGAAAGGATAGTAAAAGACATCTGCAGTATAACTATGCCAGAATCTGTTGATTCTATGCCAAAAACTATACCTGATTCTATACCTGAAATAGATGATTTTTTATTTGACAGCAGCCCATCATAGCCAAAATTGCTCTTTATGGTAATGTTATTTTAAATTTTATTCCATTGCATTATTCACAGCTTGATTTTTAATGACAAAATCATTCTAATAATATGTATGTTCAAAAATAAAACTTAATTTTACATGAAATTCTTGTGTTGTGAAATTATCGTATTATTTTTCTTGTTAGTACAACACTGCATGAATAATAGTAAAAAGATGACACCTCTCAGAGGATTAATAGTAAGAACATCCTAATAAGATATTTGTATTTGAATTTAATAAGAGTTCTGCAATATAATCACACATGGCCAAGTTTCGTGTATTTGTGTACCAATCAATTAAATATAATGCTAATAAATAATATTAATGATCACCGAAATTTTAATATGAATAAAATAGGTTTTGCTTGCTTATCTTTATGTGGAGTAAATTCTCAATGGAGAATTTTGTTTGCCTGTACAAGTTGCACCCAGAAAGTAACCACATAATTTCTTGCAAATAAGGCAAAAGATTACTAACCTTCAAATAAATTTAGCTTCTTCAAAATAATCACCAGAAGTGTGTATGCAAATTTCTAACGTTTCTTCAGGTCATTGAAACACATTTTATAGCTGTTGGAACTAACCATACATAAAATGCACGTAACATTAACAATACACTTTCAAATCTCTGTCCTTTCATAGCCATCCTGTGCTTTGGAAAAAGAAAAATCAGCTGGCAATAAGTTGGGAGAATATTGTGGGTAATTTGTCACTGCAGTTGAATACTTAGCAAGATGTTGTACAGATACTGCTGGGTGGGGCCTAACTTTATTATGTTAAAGAAACCATTGCCCAGAATCAAAAAGCTCCTTCCTGACTTGCTTTGTCCTGTTTCTTAATCAGCAAAGCACCTCCTTGTAGAAATACTTATTAACTGATTGATTTTCAAGAACAGGTTCGTGGTGAGTTAATCCTTTGCAATAAAAACATGCAGCCAGCATCACCTTTGATTTCGGCATTAGGGCTTTTTTTTTTGTATGATAGAAGACAGTCCTTTTCCTTTGTGTAGTTTTTCCCCCCCTCCCTAGGTCATATTGTAGTAACCACGTTTCATCTAACCCTATGATGTACTTAAGAAATTGTTTTATCTTCACAGCATACTTTTCTGTCATCTTTTTGCTGTTCTATCATTAACCCAAGGCACAACTCGAGCACAAACTTTCCTCATTTTCAGATTTTTGACTGAAATTATAACTTTCTTTGCTTATCCCAAGCATATTTGAAAGTTGCTAAGTTGTTACTTGTCTTTCAACTTTTACGAAGGGGCAAATTTTCTCTACACTTTCCTCATTCTTTGAAGTTGAAGGGCTCCCTATCTTTGGTTCATCTTCAATGCTTTCATGCCTACATTTAAAATTGTACCATTCATATAGTTGTGTTCTTGATAATGGTGCATCATATTATGCTATTTGAATAATCTACCATTTCGGTAGCAGATTTGCTTAATTTCTACCAAAATTTAATGTTATAACATAGTTTAATCTCAAAGTAAAGTTTTTTTTTAATGATGCCTTCTCAGTAAGTGAAAATGCCATTTCAAAATGCCCAGTTTTGACAAAATAAGCAGTTTAAACTGGCTCTTTTAAGAGTTGAGATGTCACACTTTCTAAACCTACATTTATTTCTTCACTTTTGTATTTTATCATTTAATCTTTTAATTTATTTGGTTTCTTTAAAGTTTATTTATTGTTCAAACTTTTAAAAATTAGAAATATTTCAGGGAGGGAGTGTCACATTTAATCTGCCACAGCCTCCAACTTTTCTTTTCTCCCCCCCTTAAACCACACCTTCTGCTTTGGTAAAAAAAAAAAAAAAAAAATTCATTGGTTTGTAATTTGCATAGAATCATATAAATAGAACTGAAACATATATAATAAAGTAAATTTAAGTCAATTTACACCATTGCCTTACAATGAGAAAAACTCCAGAAATTCCAGTTTTTCATATGGCATATCATCCAGTGAGTATAAAGGAAATACTATCAATATTTTTTTCTGAAAAAAACTTTTTTCATTTCAGATCACCAGTTTGAACAATTTTTCTTATGAAATTTCTTTCTAGGTACTACATTTATATTTAGGAAATTAGGCTATTTAGTACATGCATTTGTATCAGTAGAAATATCAGTGATAGCAATGTAAACTATTCTATTAAAAATTGATATATGCATTATTTTTGCATGCTTTCAAAATAATAGTATAAAATGTGACAACATTTAAATATACTGTCAGTCAATGGTAACAATACTGTCAAAATGATTTTCTTAAATAGCAGATATTGTTACTTATAATATTTTGTTAATGAAAGAAATCTAACATGGTAATGTGAAAAGTGTGCACTTCTATTCTTTGCAGTTTATTTAAAAATTACAAAATATGCCTTTAAAAATATATAAAATGTTGATTTTAATGGATATGTGAAAGGCCAGCATCAGAATTCTTTAAAAAGTGTTTAAAATGTACTATTTTTCATTTTCAACATGAAAAACATTTCACTATCTTTTATCTATAAGTTGCACTGTTATATGCAATATTTCTTTTGTTTTATTTGATAGCTAGTTTTCATATCTGTGTTGAACTAGTCCAAAATCTCTCATGTTATTTGTCATTCTTGAGAAAATGTTAGTAGCAATTTTTATTCACAGTAACTGAGACTTATCAAAAAATGTTCTGACTTTTCTTTCACTTTCATTGTTATTGAACCAGTATTCATCTAAAATAGATTTAATTTTTTTGTAAAAATGTTTAATTTTACGCAACAGCTGTGTTTTTATTTTAGGTATGCTGTTTAGCTGGTGTTATAAGTTGGAATATAATGAAAGAATTCCTAATTATGGGTGTTGCTACATCTTGTGATATGAACTCTTATCTCCTTATTTCTTCCATGTTACTTGCTTTTGTAAAATACTATCTGCATGTATGGTTAGGGTCACATATTTAATTATTTTATTTTTGATTTTCAGGGTATAGTAATCTCAGTTTTAAATTTTTAATTTCTGTTTCTTCTTTGTACTCATTTTCTCAGTATAAGTTTATATATTTTTAAACATGTTTTTAATTTTATGCCATTGTATAAAAGGTTAGAATATGGACAGATAAGGCTGATTTTTATGATCTATTGACCGCCTTATAATTTATTTTGGATAATTTAAAAACATGTTAGTTTTTTACAAACATTACACTACTTATCTTCTAGTAATAACAACAGTAAATGCTTATTTAAAGGAACTTTAAAAAAATTAAATGATGTTACAAAGGTAATAATAATAAGCATGAAAAGTTTTATAATAACCATGCAGTTTTATCAGAAAATTTATACTAAAAGACTAACAGTCAGTCTTTATTATTGCATACCTTATGTATAGGATAAATTTGGAAGCTAAAACTTAATCGGGGACAGACATAAAATTATTTGGTTGATTTTCTTCTAAGCAAACAATTTATTAATATTAATATTTTTGATATTTCTTAAAACAAGCTAAAAATATTAATTTTTACAGGTACTTAGTTGCAAAATTATTTGTAAATTATTCATTTTTTATGAATTTTCATATATAAATGGTTCTGAAAATGCACTACTTTTCTCCAATTATTTGAATGTCTATGTGCATTGTACTACTTGTATGAGTTAATGTAGATGTGCATCTTTTATTTTTGGAAAAAGTGATACCTTTGTGCTGCTATAAATAACTACATAATCTAACTGTATATCTTTTAATATAAACATTTTAATATCAAGTTTAATAACATGAAAAATGTGTTGTTAATCACTTCATTAAAGAACTCTGTTTCAGGTGTATACTGTGTAGTAAACTAAAATAATTTTACTGCTGTCAAGTAAAGCATGATTGTCGTTTTGTTTATCAAAATCATTCCAAGTAATTTGTTAAAAAAAAGCTTGTGTACCTTAAATGCATAATAATTTTTTTATTAATTTTGTAATTAATATTTATTATCACTCTGAACCTCATTTTATTTTAATTCTTAAGATTAGCAGTGAAGAAACCTCTGTATTACCTGAACTTTTCTATGCCTGAAAAATTATATGAATTACCAAAAATTAAACAATGCTCCCTCATATTATCTCTGTTGTAACTCAGGTTTTTGGATGCCATTGTTAGGCTCATTCTTAGATTTCTGTTTAATAACTTATACATTCATTGTAATACTGAATTAAAATTTTCATGAAAAATATTTTAGCCTGAGTTGGACTGATTCTTAAGAAATATGTTTCTTGTCATGGTAACCATTAAATATTGCATGAAGCTTATGCTTCACTAAAAGTTCTCACTGGGATTTTTGGTAGAGAATGAAAACCGTTCTTTTATAGCAGTTTCTTTTCTCTAATAGAAATGTATTTCAAATTAATAATGGATTTCAAATGAATTACTACTACATCTCTAAATTTATTATATGCTTCTAATGGTGTTGTTGTAGCTCTTAATATTTTGAGAGACGACTATTAATTTTTTTCTCATTTCTGCATTGAATACTTTTTGGCAAAAATATTTTAACTCTGCTCTTGATCATAATTGTATACTTATATTCATGTGTGTGTATGCGTGCATATATATAATTACATAACGCAAATATCATTTCCAAATTTCAGATAGTGTCTGATTTACTAAACAATACTGTATCAGTAATGAGTTATTTAATTTAACATTCAAAAAATAAAGTACTGTCAATTGATAAAACTGCATGATAACATTGAATGAAATTATCTGCAGAGACATATTTGATATAAATAAATTATAAATTAATAAAATAAAGTACTGCATTTAATTATGCTTGGGGCTGTGATCCCAGTGACAATAATCACATTCATTACTGGATAAATTGTTTATACCTATAGGTGTATATAAGTATAAACAATTTATCCTTTTGAATGTATGTTGCTATATTTTGCCCATTGGTCTATTTTCATGTTGAAACTTCTTTTTATCATTTTCTATTAAATTTATTTGGTTGTGTCAAGTATGTTTTATTTATATAACCTATAAATTATTTATATTACCTATAAATAAAACACACACAAAATTGTGTCCATTTAAAATAAAGATTTTAAAAGGGGTGGAATTCTAAACTGACTGCAGTTTTTTCATATTTTTCTTGTATAATGAAGTGTAAATCTTTATCATAAATTTTTATGATATTCACATACCAGAAAAAGAGCTTTTCAACTTTTCATGATTTATATCATTTTTGTGATTGTGTCATTTTAAAATTCTAATATCAGAAATGCCATCTTGCAAATCTCATTTTTTTGTTGCATCTGATTCTGAAAACCATACTTATTTTCAAAGAGTCTTGTGAGTTTTGCATTATGTTATGTTGAATTGGGATTTTTCTCTTTCCATAATACATAGACTTTTAATCTTTTGATATGTTTATATTTTTATGGGCTATGCTTATGTTATAGTTATAAATGATGACTGCCTGCACATATATATGCTCTTTATCAAATGGTCATTTATATAAAAATGTAAAATACTTTAACTTATGGCACATGAATTAGAAAATTGGTCAAGTTTCTTTCAATCGTTCCCTGTTTGGTATTAACACTCTCCCTTTTTAATTAGTACTCTATAATTATTGCATTTAATATATTATATATGTTTCCATTTAATATTCAATTCAAATTCAAATATTTGTATCTCTAAATTTCTTATTACACACTTCTTAGAATTAGTTTTTAAGACAAATTATTTCATTGGTGGTTTCATTCAAATTATTTCGAAAATGGTGCCTAATAATAAAGCTGGCAGGAGTGAGTACAGCAGCAGACTGGTAGATTGCAATCATAGAAGAACATAAAAATCCTTAACAAAACCTTTTAGTCGATTGTTAAAATCTGAACTATTTTAGTTTTTTAATATATATATATATATATAATTGACAGGACTATTTTGCAACTTGCTGTATTTACCATTTAAAATGTATTATAGTAACAAAATGGCAGAATTAATAACACAAATTTACTGTGTCTGGAAACAGTTGGAAAGTTGATAGATCAAATAAAATATATAAAATCTCATATGTGTAGAGCCACAAATTTAATGGTATATTCAGAAATGTAAACTTCAAAGAACTGAAAGGAAAGAATAATTTTTTAGCTACAATAGAAATAAATAAATCCATACAAAATATTGTTGCATTTTTTACTGGTATGCTTTTAGTTATTTGTGCAATATGTTACTTTTTCACCTTGACTGAATGTTATATCTGGATGTCAAATATTTAGACTTAACAGTGCAAGCACCTTTCTGTAAAAAAATAAGATCTTAAAAGTCTTTGACCAATAAAATTACCCATGAAGATATGATTTCATATATCTTCTTCCAAGACATTTCTCTCTGGGAGATTAATAGAATGTGATTTCATATATCTTCTTCAAAACATTTGTCTCTGGGAGATTAATAGATTGTCACATATAGAATACAATTTTTGTTTATTCTAGACTATTTTGCAAAGAATGTCTTGAAGATGTAATTGTATCAGAAATGCCAGTAATCTGTAAATTAAATGTTAGCTTACACCATTGTTATTTATTTTGTGAATGATTTTTGTCATGAAATTGGGCAATATTAGGGGGGAAAATTATTAGTAAAATGTGACTTTGACATCTACTAAAGCTTTATCTTTCACACTGCACATGCATGAAGTTTTTGTTATACCACTGTTGTCTCAGTATTCTTTATTTTAGTTACATTGTGTGAAATGTATGAAATTTCCCTAACCATTTTATTTTATATCAGTTGTCTGTCTGAATCTTCCCTTTTCTGAGCTTGATTGAAAAAAATCAGATCAATTTATCAGTTTTCTCTGCTTTGTGCAGTCATAAAAACATGAAAGAAAACTCAAAAGTTCTTAACACTTACTTAACTAGGACCATTAACATACTTTTATGTTATCATTTCATTCATAAACTTTTAGTGCCTATTATTGTTATGTTTATAAATAAATAATGTAATAAAAAAAGAAGGGTGAAGAAGTAGCTTTTATTTAACACTCGGCATGCGGTTATACTTCGGCGCGAACTTACATGTGTAACGGGCGTTTTTTTGTGAATCGTGCGGAAGTATGGTTATTCAGGAAAATCGCAGTAAATTGAAAACTACTTGTTTTTATGAACAATTTTTTTTTTTTATTTTATACTTAAATATATACTGTATGATTATTTAACCCCCCCAAAAGATATTGTTACGAAATCACAAAAATAAACGATTTTTAAAATTTTACAATGTATTCAAAAATATTTTTTCATAACAAGTACAAATAGAACTGATAACAAGTTAATAGTTCTTTACAGTATGGTAGCGTTCAAAGCATTTTCCTCTATGAAGAGGAACACGGCAGAAGCTAAATATGAAACACATTTCACTTCGCACTTCTTCGACTGCTCACACGCGACATTGTCTTTGTGGATTTTTCTTCTTCCCGGCACCAACAATTTTCTCCAATACGTGTTTGCGCATATCCATGGACAATCTTCCAGGAAGGTCGTGTTTTGATATCATTTGCTCTGGTTCTTCAATGCTGATTTCAGGTAGTTCATTAGTAACCCAATGTCGTGCAAAAATTTCGTGTATTTTATTTTTTGCGTCTTTGTCAATTTGTATACTACATATGCATTGAAAAATGCACAATTCATCATATACATAGCTAAGCGCTTTGTCCACTTCACTGTTTTACGCAAAATACTATAGTAGGACAAATACTGATTGGCCCAATCTACACCTTTCATGTACTTGTAGTCAATCAAAGCATTTGGCTTTATGATTTTTTTGTCTCTTGATATGATCAACATTACTACTTTCTTTTATTTCCACAGAATAGATTAAAGAGATGAGACCAACTTCTTTCTTGGATTGCCAAACTTGTACCAATATATAATTTTTTCTTCGAAAGATTGTTTCTCCTTTTTTTCAAATTAGTTAGGCACTCTGGTAGACCTCTATTCTTCCTAATTGTTCCTCAAATTCATATTTTTTTTGGGGGGGGTGGGGTAACAGGGCTTTAGTGTTATCGATGCTGTTGTAGTAATTGACCATGTACAAATGGTGCCAGACATCAGTATATGGCAAAACTACTGTGAGTATCGTTTCAATCAAACGTAATCCTTGAGCTGCATAAACTTCAAAATTGCAAATATAAGCAGTGTCACTTACTGACAATATTCGTATGAGTATGCCGTATTTTATAATTTTTCTAGCGTTGTAAACTCTAAAAAAACAATTGTTCTCTCCAAGGTATTATGCCCTCATCTAACGATACTTGTTGTTTCGGTTTGTAAATGTTATTGAATTTTTCAACAAAATAATTTAGTATAGGCCTGACTTTGAATAATCGATCAGAATCGTCCGTGATGTCTTCATTGTTATTGAAATGCCAAGCCTTCCATATTTGGAGAAATCTATCCCTTGACATAGTTTAAAAAAAAAGAAAAGAAAAAAGGTGTACTCGTGCAGACATTAGTTAACCAATAATCGTCTCGGGCGTCTTTACGAACTTGTCCCATGAAAATAATAAGCCTCAAAAATTTCTTATCTCCGGAATCGTAATATCTCTCTATTTCATGCTTTTAGGAGATATTTTGAACTTATTCATATTTTGATAATAATACCTGTTTGATTCCGCGACTAAATATGCAAAAAAGTCATCGCCTATAAATAACTTTACTGCATCAGCTGTGGGTTCAGGAACATTAGCCAGCTATTATTAGTTCAGGAACCATTTCATGCTATTATTAGTTATTCCAGGATGACCCAAAAACTCTTCAAGGTCTGGAGGATTGTCAATTGATGACCATTCATCTGCTTCTTCATCAGAAGTTGTTTCAGAACTACTAGAAATTCTTCTTCAGATGAACACTCGAGAACGTGGAATAATGTCATCGTCACTTTTTTCGATATCTTGACTTTCAGAATCACTATCATACGAAAAGTCCAATAATCTGTCAGTTATTTCTAATTATTTCATATTTTCTTCATCACTATCTTTGTCACAATGATTCATTTTATCAAATTATTTAATCAATAATAAAAAACCAAGCTTCAAATTGACAAAATACGACTTGTACGTTATGGAGCTAAGAATTTGATTGAAGACGAAATAACTCAACAAAAGACCAAGTAACTCGACAATCATAACTTGTTGAAAGAAAAAATGCATATCAAACAACACCCATATAATGTCACACATGCATGTAATTATACGTATTTAATAGATTTGTGGTGGTTAGTGGGTATTCACCACAAATCTACTAAATACGTATCTTTACGTGACCCACGCTCCAGTGACAGACTGCAAAAAATGTAAAAATATGTTGCCCACATGTCATACGTATTTTTACATGATCCGCGCTCCAGTGACAGACTACAAAAAATGTAAAAATACATTGTCGCATGCCAAGTGTTAATAGCACAGTGTTTTACAATATACAATATTCATTTTAAAAATAAATACACAATTGTCATCTGCAGTTGAATCTTCCTGCTTTAACATACCGCAGATAAAAGGAATGACCCTTTTGGTTCTGGTGCAGTTCTCTATTGTACTCTTACGTTATGTTGTATTATATTATACAGTTAAAGTGAGTCTCCAAAAATAAGAAAATTGGATGTAATGAACTACTATATGATTATGTTAGACTAAAACATTTTTGTATTTTTCATATACCTTTAAGAATCTCTGCAGGTTTTAATGAAGAAATTACTGTTCAAATTGTCCATGTTTAGAATATTAGGTGACTATATTCCTTATTTCATCCATGAAGGAAAACATCTTCACTACCCCACTATGAAAATTAATTGTAACATACATATTTTGTCTCATACCATTGGGGTTGCATTTTCTTAATGATGTTTGACTTGTTCACTTAGGAGCAAAATTTTTTACCATCATAATAAAACAAAAATTATGGTGGTAAAGCAAAATGTTTTGTTATTGTGACAATTAAACCCAGTATTTTTGTTTAATAAGTGACTCATTGCTTCTTTTAAAAAATGTTTAACAGAGTAGTATTCAAGGCTTTCTTAACAATTAAATCCAGTATTTTTATTTAATTGGTGACACATTGAATTGAAAATAACACATTGAGATGTGACACAATAAAATTTTTTAACAGATTTGGCAGACAGAATAGTATTCAAGGCTTTCATAATTATTAATCCGGTATTTTTGTTTATTTGGTGACACATAGCCTTCTTTTGCAAATTTTTAACAGAGCTGCCAGACAGAGCAGTATTTGAGGCTTTCTTTTAGGGAATTTTTTTTTAATGCTTATCAGTTTGTTTTGAGTATAAATGTTCTTCAGTTCTACTCTGACTCCAAGTTTTGCATTCTTTAGCTCTTTTGAAAGATATAAGATATTCTTCATAATGGTTATTGAATCTTTGGGTTGCAACCATACATATCTTGTGGGATACTGTTTTTTTTGTCACTGTACATTGTATAAGACACATAGATTTTCTAGCTCCTTTCGGCTTGTTTTCGTGATGTAATGGTAGCACACTCGGCGCATATTTGAGAAGTCCAGGTTCGAGCCCCGGTGAGGGTCTTGCTCATTTTTTGTGTTTACTACTTCAAAAATTCTAGTGACTCTACAAGATGACAAAATTATCTTCCTTTTCCATCTTATCTAGTTGAATAAAACTCTCATGTATTCTTCAGCCAAATTCTGTGATTCTGTATAAAAAATTTATTTGCATGCCGAGCTGTGGATGTTAAAACTTCTGCATTGAAGATAAAATGAAGATTTTTTGAAAAATACAAAATGGATGCAGTTAAATCAATATCTGCCAGAAATATAGTTTATCCAAATCTTCAACTCATGCCAGATAACAAAATCAAAACCATGTAATATCTGCTCATGGAAAAAATGCGAATATGAGAAAAAAGTTGAAAGAAAAAGAAAGATTGAGCATGGGGGTGTTGAAGAAACATTTTAAAAATGAATTGCAAAAGCCATTGTTTGGTCAGATGCTTCGAAAGCCAATTAAATCTCCAGGCACTGAGAGACAAAAGGAATGGATAACAAATTTAATAACTGCAATTAAATGTTGATGTATTTAAGTTAAGTTTATTATTTGTTTGCTTTTTGTAAATGTGACAATTTTAATCAGTTTACCCCCCTTTCTTTATTCATCATTAATTTTTTACACGGTTTTGTGAGCTATCTGTTTTTCTTTTCAGATCAGATATAGTGAACCAAACTTTTGGTTTCTTGAAGTTTATAATAGCGAGGTTTGACTGTAAAGAAAAGTTTGTTAAACTCAGGTATTGAATATTGCATATTTGTTTATCTGTGTTAACCATTTTTTGCAGATATGAAACTGAAATTAAAATCAGAAACTTTTTTGAGACTTTGTTAAACAAATTCTGAAATCATAGTTTCTGATCTTTCATTTGTATGGTTTGAAAGAAGAAGGCAGTCTTGAAATTTTACTAATGTAACCTATGCTTATTGTAGCAGATATTTATTAATCTGAGTGCAAGATCTTTGGTTGATGATTTCTGAAATAAAGAAATAATTTCTAATTTTCTTTCTAATAGCCTGTATTTATTTTAAGTATTAACATGTATAGTTTCTTCGGTTTTTATGTGTTTAATGTTTGACTGATGGTATAATTGTAAGCGAATATTGTCTGTAGCAAAAAGAATTTTTTATGTATTTGGTGGACTTCAGTATTGGTTACTATTTTATGAAATGCTATTATTATTCCGTTAACTGTTGTTTCTGTTGAATCTGAACTGTATATTTATCTTTTTTGTGCTTCCATTATTTTGTGAGAAAGGTTAATGTAGATGTATGGATATAAAGTACACTAGAAATTGTCTTTCACTATACATTATGTTGTTGAAGTTTGTTACAATATATATTATATTTAATATTCTGTATTTTGATTCATAAATTGTGTTGCAGAATATTTTGAAACTAAACATTATGTTTATGTAAACTTATATGTAAATGAGAGATAAGGTGCTCTGTGATTTTATGGAATTAACTGATAATGGAAAAGAGTATTAATGCAATATGTTAATAATTCATCCATTTTGGGGTATGTAATATCAGTGTACAAAATACTGAAATGTAAATAAAAGATAACATCTTCTTCTCAGGATTTTTTTAATAATGTTCTGCGATGATGAATTATTATCCTCATCATTATCTATTAAAATTTTGATAATGTTTTTCAATGCTTGTTTTTATATTAAAATCTGATGATTTGAAACTTTTGCATCTTAAGATGAAATTACTTTAAAATTATAATTATTACCATTAAAAAATTAAAATCATTGCTGAAATAATTCTTATTTTCAGGACTTAATGTTTTTCTCACAACTTGGCTTCATAAATAATAAAACATGCAAACACACATTTGTATCAATTAAAAAGCATTAACAAATTAATAAATCAGGTACATGTACATATGCATAATAAATTTTTTTAATGAAAATTAATTGTAACACATATTTTGTCTCATGTCTTTGAGGCTGCATTTTCTGAATGATATCTAATTTGTTCACTTAGAAGCAAAATGTTTTACCATTATAATGAAACACAAAATTATGGTGGTAAAGCAAAATTTTTGGTTATCGTAACAATTAAATCCAGTATTTTTGTTTAATTGGTGACACATTACCTTCTTTTGAAAATTTTTCATGGATTCTTTTTTAAAATGAATTACTTCTTTTATCGAAAACTGATAACTGAATATCCGTCTTAAAAGGAAATAAGAATACTTACAGTCAAAAGTAAAAGCTTTGTTATTGCTTATAGAAACTGTCATTCTTCTGAGCCAATCAAAATCTCTAATGGTGATAGGCTTTACCACTTCATTGCTAAGTATGATTGCTAGGCATAAAGAGAGAAGACTTGTTGGGTGGCTCTTTTAGATTTCAACAATAAATCACTGATTAGCATTTTTAATAAATGCAGGCTGTCAAAAGCTTATTAACAGCTGAAAAATTTATTAATTATATGTATATGCAAAAGGAGAGAATTAGGATGTAAATCTCTGTCTTGATCCAGCTCTAAATTACTAAGACATACATAGTTCTACACAAAGGTTCACAGAATTACTTTAAAAATGTATATTATTATACAGTGTCTCATAAAAATGAATGGAAACATTTCATTTATAAAAATAATGTCAAAAATTTTAAATGCATGAAATAGAAACTAAAAGATTGCCTTTATTTGAAAGTATATATACATTTAATCTAGTCTTCTTATAGTATTTTACTTATACTAAATATTTTTTCCAAAAATAAAGTATTGTGCTTAAAAGTTAATATCTTCTCTTTTGAATGAAGAAGTCATCTTATAACAGACTGCAAACAAAGTCATAATCTAATAAATATATATAAATAATGATATATTGCATTAAGACAACAGGAAAAATCTAAAATGACACTGTACAATGTTGTACATCTCCGATGAATAAATTTATGATATATTGTATTAAAACAACAGGAAAAATCTAAAATGACATTGTATAATGTTACTCAATGCATGACATAATTCAAAGTGAGAAAAAAAGCATGACAGTCAAACATTTTTTGTGGAAAATTTTTAAATATTATCAAAAGTAATCTAAATAAAAAAACTTGAAAGCTGTTATCCAATATGTAAGGTTTATTCTCAAGTTTAAAATCTGTATTAGTGAAAGTAAAGAATATTTGAGAAATAATAATTCTGATCACTGTAATAAAGTAATATTTGTTGAAAGTAGCTATTTTAATATATTTGATTAGGATGTCAGCTTTAAGCACGGAGAAGAGATGAAAAACAAAATTAGTTCTAACAGTAGAATATGGTAGAGGAATAGGTATGATATTGCTATTTGAAACCCTGATTTTAATTTGATGTAATAAATCAGTACAAACAGATTGATATTTTAAAAAGAAATTTAAAAATTATCAGTTCAAAAATTGAACCCATGGAATAATTCAAATTTTTTTAAAAACAATTATCCCAAACTTATTACTCTAGGTATTGCTGCGGATGCTGAATACTTTTTATAAAATTTCCAGGGGTATTAATTTCCTTTCGTCTTCCATTACTTTCCAGAGTCCATCAACCATAGTGAGTTTGCACTTAGAAATTAAAAGCAAGCAAGTGAAATGACAGAGGACTTATATGCAATACCTGTGCCAGTTTTCACTTTTTCATGGCACATATCGGCCTATGATTACTATAGAGTACAGACGCTAAAATGTTTAATTCTATTGACAGAATGACAAAAAGTGAAATAGAGACCGAAATCTTGCAATACAGATTATCGGTGGGGGAGGGAATTGTTTATTCGGTCTCGATTGTTGAATCTATGTATCTATATCCATCAACGCTACATTTTTTTACGCCTTCATCTTGCAAATTCTCGCATTTATTGAAAGTCAAAGAACTAAAAATGTTTCTTGAAAGCATTAACATATATCATAAATTTGTTCCAAATTATGCAAAAATAAGACCCTATAATAACCTATATATAAATTTACTTTAAAAAGATACTCCATCCATTGAACGCTAATAGTCAAACAACCTTTTAAAATTTAAAGATTTTACTTTCCAAACTCATTTAATATTATTTAATTCAAATTACCCTCGTCTTGTGTTTGTAAATGCCTCTGAAGAAGCTATTGTTGCAGTTTTCAAACAAGAACACCCAGATGGTACATCAGCATTAAGAAAGACCTCATAGCATTTCATTCTCATAAATTAAGATCTTATGGAGTCAGTGAATTAGAATGTCTAATTATACAATGAAGGGTCAAAACATTATGACCACCTACTCAATAACACGTTGCATGGCTTTGGCAGGCAAAACAGCTGCAACTCGCCTTGGCATGGTTGCTACAAGTTCTTGGTAGATGACTGAAGACAGATTGTACCAAATTTCTTAGCAACAGTCACACAAATTTGAGATATTCTGACACTGTGGTGTTTGAGCTCTGAGCTGCCGCTCCAAAACATCGCAGATGTTCTCAGTCGGGTAGGATGTAGTGAGTTAGGTAGCCAGTACATTAATTAGAATTCATCCGTATGTTCCTCGAATCACTCCAACAGCATTCGAGCCTTCTGGCATGGGGCATTGTCTTGCTGCCTATGAGAATGTCCTCCAAAGCATAATACCACTGCCACCAGCCTGTGTATAACCTGCTGTACAGGGAAGGGGGCAGCAAATGTTTGCCTGGAAGATAGTGTACCTCATTCATCCGACCAGGCAACTGTCTTCCACTTATTCACGGTCCAGTCTCGATATTTCTGGGCTCCACTGTAGGCGTAGTTGACAATGATGCTTGATCACCAGAAGCATACGTGTGGGATATTTGCTGTGCAATCCCATATCCAAAGAATGTTCACTAAACCGTGTGTTCCGAAACACCTGCACTGTATTCGGTTGACAGCTGAGCCACTGCCTGCCACCGATTTTGCTGTACCAAGCGGAAAAGTCGTTGACCTCCTTCTTCTTTGATGATGTCCTTTGTGGATGTCCAACATCTTGATGTGTACTGCTGGTTTTACCACCATTTATCCACTTTTCATAACTACTAACAGCGGCAGATCGTGAACTACATACCAGTCATGAGTTTCAGAAATACTCGTTCTTAGTCTTCGGATCATTACAATCTGCCCTCTATCAAATTAGATCAGCAGCCTTTCCATCACTGGCAAAGTAAGTCCAAGAATGATTCCTTACCTTCTCCAGCCGCAGTTAAATGCCATTCCCATTTAATCACTTGCCCTCCATGTCATCCAGATGAGTTCATTGAAAAATGTGGGAAGGGTCATAATGTTTTGTCTCGTCAGTGTAGATGCTGTAGATAAATTGTATTACTATTTACATGGAAATCATTTTTTATTGTATATGATGATCATGCTGCTTTGTAAATTACTTTACTTTGATTATAACTGATAGATATTCTAATCACTGAATTAGAAAGTCTAGCAATCACAAAAAATATATTGCATCCTACAGGTGGATTATTCCAATGGTGTTTAAAATTATCCATGTAGGATTCTGATATACAACAGACATTCTACTAATATTGCATCTGTTATGTTAACATATAACCGTATTTGTCAGCAATTTTGTTTATAAATTAATTTATTATCACTGAAAGAAATTGAAGACCATCAAAATTTGGATAATGTTTGTAATCCTGAATTCAAGAAAATTAATAATGTTTTAAACATAAAAAAGTAAGTATTGCATACAATTGCAATAAAATGTCTCTTCGTACAAAATTATTTCAAAAAGCCCTTACTGAATTAGGCCATATTGTTTCTTTTATGTCAAATTTATTATCTCCTCAATATTATTAGGCAGGTATAGTTCAAGATATTAGATATTATTGTAAACATTGTAAAGTATACCAGTTTAATAAGAAAAGTAAAAGAAAGTAAATTTGATGCAGTCTGTACCGTCTGTAAACGAATATTTTCCAATTTTGTCTATTGATATCGCTGGAGGTTTAAATTGTGTGATAATATATAGGTGGAGATGATAATACAAGTACTATATCGCTATAGGTAGACATTTTCCTCTAGAAGTGTAACTACTAAAATAAATTCTTAAAACAAACTTTTCAGATTCAAAGAAAATTTGCAGTGATTGTAATGCTGTATGTACTTTTTCAAAAATCAACGCTAGATTGCCCAAGGAAGTCATTTTGACTGCTTTTTAATTTCAATTAGAAAAACAATTATGTATATAATGACACAATTTCTTAGAATTTTGTTACTTTTGTACAACATTATAAATCCTTTTATTAATAATTGTAGTTAAACCCCTTATTTCATTTCCAGTATATAGATGTGTTATACCTATATTGCCAAAAGCAGTCATTTTGACTGTTTGGGAAATTTTAAATAATGAAAAGGCTCTTATTATTGAATTGAGTAAATTTCTTATATGACCACTTCGACTCTGTATTGAAATAACAGTTTTCTTTTCTTTCTTTCTTTCTTTTTTTTTTCCCCCAATTACCGTCACATGATAACATACAAGTACGTGATAATTTGTCGATTTGGGCATATACTTGATAAGTTGCAGTTTCTCAGTAAGCTAAAGTAGTACTTGTTATTCGAATCTCAGTGAACACATTTTTCTGAAAC